CGGAGGGGGGGGGGGGGATCACGAGGGAGCTGTTTCGGGGATGACGCACGTTTGTCGCTCGTTCGTCGCCCGTCATCGCCCGTCGTCGCTCCTCGCATTTTAAATGGGAATCCTTTCTTTTTTTCTCTTTCTGATCGGATCATTTTTTACTTTTTACTGTTCCCGTCGAGGTCGAGGCGGATGCCCATGGTTGCTGCATTTCGTCTGCGGAAGCACATGAAATGCAGCAGGACATCAGAAATGCAGCCCAGAGATCCTATTGCGAGCGGAAAAGGCCATTAGAAGTCGTTGAAATCTGATAAAGCTCGCACCCGAATCAAATCGATTTTCTCTCAGTTCTTGTCCGATGACAGCCGCCCGCCGATGGAATTCCATCGATCAAATTTTTTGGGGGGTCTATGTAACGAGAACCCGCACTCCGAATCGAAACGAGATGCCCCCGGAGACTCGATGCAATTTATTCTCCGACCGACTCATCTGCGAGCGAGTTCGAGACCCATATTACGCGAGTTTCATTTGCCTCTCGTGCGATGTCGCGATTCTACGCAGTTGGTTCCTCGAGATTGACTCTTCGACACTGACGCACGGGGTTTCCGATGCGGAATCTAATGGGACCAAGGGGCATATTGCTCTTCGTCGTGCCATCTCCGCCCGAGAGCTCAACAGCCAGTGCGACAGACCTGCCCCCTGCCCCCTGCCCCCTGCCCCCCCCTGCACCCCCTGCCCCCAATCGATGGGCACGGAAGAACGGGTCGGGGAAGCCAGACTGCAACGGATGACTCTTCCCCCGAGGGGATTAGCTGCCGAATTTTCAAGGTCAGGCAAAAAAAATAATAAAATAAAATAAAATAAAATAAAACAAAATTAAATTAAATTTTAAAAATAAATATATACAATTAAATTAAATTAAATATTAAAAAATACGCTTGGGATGAAAGCCTCGGTTCTTTTCTTTTCTGCGGAACGAGGGGGGAGAGGGAAAAAGATTTTAAAAGGGAAGGTACGACGTCGGGCGGACGGGAAAAAAAGGAAACATGACAGGGAAGCGAGCCCTTTTTTCCCCCCCTTGTTGGATCCCATTTTCGAAACTTCCGTTAACCGGCCGGTTAGTGAATCAACCGAGACCTGAAAGCAACCGAGATCCCTAATATAATTAATTTATTCAGCGAAGAAGATTTCATCCGAAACCGGACAACCAGAGATTCCCAGGGCTTTCTTTCTAATGAACTCACGAAATTTAAATTGAAAAAAAAAAACCACCTCACCGGCGAAACCGAGCAATTACCATTTGTGAAAATATGGAACGCGTTTTCCTAGTCGTATCATACATATTATCACACATTAGTTTTGTACCTTGTCGTGGCAGTAACCTCTTTCAAAGTGGCCATGTCTAAATTAATTTACCAAAGGAGAGTGCCTCAACAACTATGGAATTCGAGTGGCACGTGAATTTTTTTTGAGTAAGTTAAGTTAAGTTAAGGCTTAGCCCTTTAAATTAGGTCGAGTAGCGCAGTCTAATCCCTAAAAATCCTATTTTGCGGAAGTCAATGCCAAAAAAATGGGACAAGAGCATTTGGCCTTAGAGCAAAGTGGAATAGTGGGGAACCGTGTGAAATGTGTCAACTGGGGCAGAAACCGGCAGAATGACCGAGGCAAAAAGGAATCTGAAGCGAGATGGATCCAACATTTTTATCTTCGTCGATCCTTCGAGATGCCATTTTTTTTTTAACCCGTAGTCATTTTTCGATGGAGCTCGACGATTTGCCGCTTCCTGCTGGGAGGAAAATTCGCTCCGTCGATGCGATGTACTTTGATGCCGTTTAACCCATTTTCTGGGCTTAAGGTCAATCGTGGTCCAAGGGCAAAGAGGGGGACCGAGAAAATCGTTCCATCAATCCTCACAAAACGAACCTTCTTTTCTTCGCGTACATCGAGAAAGGGGGGGGGGGAAACAAGAACCCCGTTTTCGGGCAGGTTTCAGCTCACAAGAGACGAAGCGCGAAGAGTGGAAAGCTCCCGTTTGAAGAGGGGTCCTTAGTGGCCGTCCGCAAAGGCTGACGCAGATCCACAAATACTGTAGACGGAGAAGATCCCCGAAGATCCCCGAAGATCCCCTCCCCAAGTCCTCGGGGAGGACGACGGGTCGGAATCGACCGACGAGGAATGACAGCTCGAGGCAGATACAAATCGCCCGAAGGTGGAGAGGATACCATGCCTTCAAAGAGCATAGAAAAAGCGTCCTAATCGAAATAACGATCCCAACGAGCAAAACCAGCATTTAAATTCCAGAGGCGGCTCGCGATCCGCAGCCAGTGGATCTGCCTCGTCGGGCCGCCACTGCCTGGCGCTGTACTCGACGACTCGATAAACGAAGACACTCGACCGTCGCAAGGACCGGGAAAGAAAGATCTCGCACAGGGGGTAAGACGCCCACTCTCAGACCTCAAATCACAATGAACAGAAAAAAAGATTTTTCCTGTTTATATACTGCAGGCGGGAAGTGGAACTCACTCCCTCCCTACTTCCTTCCCTCCTTTCCCCCCTCCCTCCTTCCTTCCCACCTTCCCTCCTTCCCCCCCTCCTTCCTTCCCTTCCTTCAAGAGCCGGTCCTCGTTTTTCTGCACTCATCCGCGAAACGTCTTCATCAAACATGCCATCTATCGCTAAGGTACAAACTAAGTTCTTCCTGGACGAAATTCATGCAATTAAAATTAAGCTGGAGTGGACTGGAGGCTGGGAAAGGGATCGGCAGCCTCCAGTCTCCTGGAATACTCCTGGAAAAAAACTCCTGGAAAAAAACTCCTGAAAAAAAAGCCTCTCTTCGTGGAGGCGAAAATTTGCATCTCGCTCATCATCACGCGATTCCAACGATTCACCATGAAGTCGCATTCGTTGCTCGAATGGGATTCGCTGATGCGACAGATTCTCTCGGAGATTCTCTATCGAGTCTGTCCATCAGATTCTTCAAGTCTTCATCTCCTCGGGAAGTCCCTCCATTTTTCTTTTCGCTCTGTGCATACGCCGTGATCATTTTGCGAATCGGCAACGAGAGCCAGTTGCTGGGAGTTGAACTTGGTGGAAACAGTTGGCAAACAAATTCTGTCATGCTGCTTCGATGGTTCGAAATCAACACCAGCCACGGTTGCAAATTTGCTAAAAAAAATTTATTTTGAGACGTTCCCGATATCATACACAGCACGGGTCGAAAACATTTCCAAACCGGACCGATCACCGCGCCGAGGAAGTCAGAGATGGAAAACAGTGGAAAGCCATTTGTCGAGGAGCGTCTTCAAAATGCATTACTCATCTTTAGCGTTTACGTTCGAGAAAGCATGGAAGAGGATCGAGAAGCTATTTCGAGAGGCTATTTCAAGTCAAAAAACGAGAAAAGAAAAAGCCCTAACAGGTCGCTAACGAAAAGAGCAAAAAAAAAAAAAAGTTGATTCAGTAAAGTCCTCCCAGAAGACCACCGTAGCCCAAGCCAGGGTAGCCGAAACCGTAGCCGCCATAGGGGAAACCATAGAGCCCTCCGAAGTAAGGGTATCCGTAACCGTAGCCGTAACCGTACTTGTAACCTCCTCCGATGCCTCCAAGGCCTCCAAAGCCTCCGATGCCTCCAAGACCGTACAGACTCGGGGAAGTCTCAAGGTCCTTGGACTCCTTCGCTTCGACTCGATCTTCTCCGCTCGCCAGGCAGGCAAGACCCAACACGACCAGGAACATGACCTGGAAATTGCAAAACAGTCGCGAATGTGCACGTGTCAGGACGAAGGGAAGTGCCAAAACTCTGAAACGAATGGGAAGTCGTAATTATGCTATCGTTATTCTTGGTCGATCCGAGGCGAGCCGCAGTCGACCGATCTCGATGCCTTGCGTGTTTTACATACGTCTGCAAATGTTTCATTTTTGTCCTTTTTCAGCCAGAATTTCCTTCCACGGTTCTTCCCCGAACTAGATGCTATATTTAAAACCGTCTGGGACGGGAATAGAAAAAAAAAAACCGCTGGATTTCGCCTTGCAGCCATGCGGAATCGCCAGACGCGATCCAATCTCGTCACAGTGGAAAATCATTAAAGGACTTCAAAAATTCTTTTCATCCCGATTTTAAGAAAAACTCATCGAGAATTTTTAGCATTCCGAGAAATGCCATACAAAACGAGCCACGTGAAATCCCATCAGCGTCATGAAGCGCTTCTCTGCCAATTTGGCTTTTGTTTTGGCAATATTTTATGCAGGGCAACTCTCGTCGAAAGAAGTTCTGCGTCGAACAATTGCTTTAGGGAATAATTCTTCACTTTTTCCACTTTTTCCCTCACATTTCTTGCGAAGAAATGTGCAGGAACCGGCAGCCAAAGAGGAAAAAATCGCGACGTGATAGTTTCCAAATTCGCAGAACGAGAATTTCATCGATATTCCCACAGAAACGGCAAAAAACAAAAAAAAACCCAACTTTCCCAAACGAAAGCGAAAAGAAACTCACCAGCTTCATATTGGAAGATGCGGCGACTCTCGAAAAAGCAGCAGGAAGCAGCGGACTGCAGAGGAATGTTCGTCTCACGGCGGCGTGGATGGCTGTGATGCGGATCGGGTTGGACGCGGGTCCTTTTATACCCTCTCCGTTCCCGGGCCCTCCCCCCCCCCCCCCCCCCCCCGGCCGCCCCCTCTCTGATTGTTCTTGGTCCCGTGTGTGGCTTCGNCCCCCCCCCCCCCCCCCCCCCCCCGGCCGGTCGCACTTCAAGGCTGGCGGTCGCGTGTGAGGGCGGAGTGGGGTTCGGGTCGCCGAGACGTTCGTAATGGGGCCATCTTGTATGGCCCGGTGGGTCGGGCGAAGGTCGGCGGGGAAACTCTTTGTTTATTCCCAGATCGTCTCCGGCGGTGATCGGGATTTTTATCGGCCTTGATCGCGGATCGCCCCGGCCGCGCGTGACCGATGAGAAACCGCAGAGCAGGATATTTTTCCGTTATTATCTGATTTTTCTGCTCCGTGCATTCACGCTGGCGGTTTCGATGCAAAAACGGCGGCAGTCGGGCCGAAATCCGCCGATATCGGTTGGCTTTCGTCACGAAGGCGACGGGCTCAAGGAGCCATTCGGACCTCGTCCGGATTTATTTTATTGTTTTAAAATTAGCATAGAATATATTATAAAAATTCTTATGTAACGGTCCCTGTCACCTCGAGCCACAAAATAATTCGAGTCTTCCTGCATTTTTGGTCATCGACTTCTCGTCATTAATAATCTTCACCGCACGCGCTCTGCGAACCATCCCAAACCATGCGATTAAACGCGACGGTCGCAAAGTCGCAACTTTTCGACGGAAACTCACAATCCCCCCTTTTTCTTTTTGCGAAGTGGACACGCCTGCATTTTTTCAAGTCCGTGGAGTCAAGGACATAAGGACACGTGGTTGGCACGGGTCCAAGTTCGATATGGTCGCTCGCGAGAAACGAGCGATTTCAAAGGCAACCTGAAATTACTGTTCCCCAATTACTGTTCTTTCTGTTCTCAATTGCTGTTCTCTCCGTTCCCAAGCGATTTTCGCGCCTTTTTTCTCCTCGGCGGAAAAAAAATTGCATGCCCGTTCCGATATTCCCTTTGAATCCTGTGGGAAATCTCGTGAAGGTTATTTCACGTGGTAAATGAGGGTAAGTGAAAGTCCAGTGAAATTGATCAAGCCTCAAAACGTCTGATATCGTTCACGATTACCGTCGGTTTTCTCTTCTTTTTTTTTCCCGCCGGATTTCTGAAACCGAAATTGTTCAGACCTGGGGCATCGAACGTGATTGGCAGAAGGAATTGCAACACCATAGGAAAAAAAAAATGCAGTTTACGTTTCCCAAATGCGGAAGAAAGAAACAATACCGGGAATTCCAAGGGCCCCGCGCGAAAAGCGTCAGTTTGCAAATTTGCACATCTCGCAAATCCGTGACAGGGACGAAGAGCGCGCGGCTCGGTGCAATGTCCTTTCTTTAGGCAAGGCCACACGATAGAAGTTGCTGGACTGGAAAAAAGGACTCAAGTCCTCGCTTTAACCACGTGGTATCTTAGAACAGAATGCGTTCTAAAAATAGATTTTGGACTACCCACACTTATATTATCATTCTGTGATTGGATAGTAACTTTATTTACGATAAATATATACAATAAATATAAATAAATACTGTAGGTCGCGCTGAACCGCACTTCTCCCAACCGCCGAGTCCATTCAAACGAAGGAAATATGTTTTAAGGTAAAACAGGCTGCGGGCGAGCCGAGGGAAGGGGAAGGTATAAAAGGCGTTGACTCCGCGTTCTCCGCTCAGTCTCTCACGAGCAGTCGTGGATGTCGGACGCTTTTCTCTCTCTCTCTTCCTCACACTCTCTCTCTCACTCTCTCTAGCAGGGCGGTAAATGCCCCATGTGGCGCCCTGGGGCAGGGAGTCATAGACGCGCCCCCCCCCCCCCCCCCCCCGCCACCCCCCCCCCCCCCGCNCCCCCCCCCCCCCCCCCCCCCCCCCCCCCCCCCTCCGTGGCGTTTTCCCTGACTTGTGCCTGCCAGTCCTCCTAGAACTAGTACCTACCTATCCACGTCGAAGTTGGCACGCCCTCCCTATACTATTGGCAATATTGTTCATTTATTAATCGAATGGGCTGAAGTTAGACTTGTGTTATTTTTCAGAACATTACAGTGAAGTTGATCAAATTACACGACATCAATATCACTAAATGTCCCAAAAATGAATGAGTCTTTAATCTGACGCGAACATAACGGGATGACACTCTTCTGCCTTTGCCAAATCTGAGGGTCTTATTTCCAGGTAGCTTTTTTTTTAACTCCTATAATTATAGCACAGCTTTCCTTGCTTTGGGAAACGCAAAATTTTCAACGACATGATCAAAATTCACTTTCTTTGCTGCTTGATTTTATTTTCACTGTGCAACACTTTTTTTTCTGTGCCTCATTCGCCTTTCCCTTGCTTCGCCTCCCTCCCTTCTCGGCGCCCCCTTCCTTGCCCCCTTGCCCCCCCTTATTTACGGCCTTGCTCTGTAGTCTAGGTCATCTGGACCAGCTGTTCCCAAACTGGGGGTCGCGAGAAATTCCCCATAATGAAAAACACAACTATATCGGCATTCGCTCGGGTTTAGCAGATTAGGTCGATCAGTTTTCTTCGCGTTATAATTACCTTGAAAATACTTCGTTCTGGATTCCGGTCTGTCTTTAAATTTTCTGGACGTCGGCAAGTTGGGTCGTAAAATTTTCTGGACGTCGGCAAGTTAAAAAAAGTCTGGGAACCATTGATCTAGGCCAGGCCGATTCGGTCTCGAACTCCCGTTTCTCCTCGTCGCTCGTTCCCGACGGCTCCCATTTCACCCACCCGCTGTTTTTCTTGAAAAATATTAAATAAAAAAAAGACGAGAGCAACGGAGATCGTGGGTTGCGTTCGGCTGAGCAAACATCTGGAGATAGGCAAGAGATACGATTGCATCATCCCCCGCATGATCTTGGAAAATGAGACAGCCAGAGGGGAATGTCGTCAACAAGTGGGCGGAAGAGACTCCGGAAATAGAGCTATAAAGATCTTGTCTGCTTCAATCTTTCCAATGCTGGAAAATCCTTATGAGATATTCTCCTTTGGTCTCAGGTGATCTATCTTTATGGTAGTATGAGGAGTTGGATCGTCGTTTCGCCAATTGGGGGGGGGGGGGGGGGGGGGGGGGGGGGGGGGGGAGGTTGGGTGCGAACTTTAAAAACAAATCAGTCACGTTTCCTGGGTTCTCCAATAAAGTGAAACTATTTCCCTTGCATCTGCCTCACCTTACATAATCCCTTCATATGTTCTCACCCCGTTTGGTTCAGAAAATAGCATTTGATTCTGCCTTCAATGTTCAATCATTCGCCTATGCCCCTATGCCTTTGTACTACAAAGGCTTTTTCCATTACCAGTTCTGAAGTACTCTTTTATAGAAATTCTACCAGTGTTCAGCTAATGGTCGGTCTATTTGCACTTCAGCTAGTTCATAAGTAAAGCAAAAGTTTGCATACCAGAGTAGTGGTTGTCAAGTACTAGTCAGTACTTGGTGCCGATTCGGTGATGATTTGGAGAGGCATTGAGGTGTATGGTAATGCACGAAGTCAGGTCGGTATAGAACTCTATAAACACGTATCCAAGAACCCTCTCTTGTTGGGTCTGTGGTATCCTACCCAGGCTCCCCCCCCCCCAGGGGGGGGGGGCATCCCCCGGCCTCGCGTTTCAAGGGGTCCCAAGGGGGCCTTCAACGAAATCGGATGCCAAGATCCCCAAAGGGCCCATTCAGTCACCCCCATCCATCGAAGAGGCCTCCGGACACCTCTGACCTGACCCCACCCACCACGACACAGGTGCGGAACTCGCGGAAGAAGACGATCCAGTGCAGCGTCAAGCCGCGCATTAAAGGCATCGCCGTCTCGGGCCGTTTTCCCCTCGGCCCGAGTGCGAAGGCGATTCTTCTGTGTCGTTCGATCCACGGTCGTAACTCCGCGGAGTCGGTTCGTCCGACCGCGTCATCCCAGTCGTAATGTCGGTCCATTCGTGTCGTTATAATTGGTTTTGGCACGGGCCTGTTGCTTTCGGAACCAACTTATGCCGGTGCAGTAATACATGCTAAGTCTTAGCCTGGCTTAGCGTTTCGCCTATGGCATGAAAATCGAGATGATCTCTTTAATCCCACAGATCCCACAGATGGGACTCCTGAGATCCTCGTGAGGATCTCAGGAGTAACTCTTCATTTTTTTTTTGTCCTTGGGCATCTCTACGCATTGAGAAAGGCTAAGTGCAAATTCAGAGCTAAGTGCTTCATGCAACACAAATCTGTAATCCATTTCACAAGTTCACAACTTCCGGTTGCTCCGAAACCGGAAGTCGAGGCCGAAGAGGAAAGGAGATTCTCGATGGAAAAAATCTTTCCGAATTATTCAGATCAGAAGTGAAATATGCTAATCATGCAAATCGATCTGCATTTCCCTGTAACTCAATCGTTCTCCGAGGATGAAAGAGAATCGAGACTATTAAGGAAGGCATTCGGCCTCGAAGCTCTTTCCTCTAAATTGTTCGCGTGCGTTCCTCGTCTTCCCTCATGCATCATGCGATGCATGAGGGAAGCCGAGGCTCTAAGCATGAGCGAGGTTTCCCTCGCGTTTGCCTTTTGGTTTCGCCAAGAATCCCAGGAATCAGCCTATCCAGTCGAAGGCGAAGGAGATTCGCGGCGTGAGGGGTTCGTCGCGCGCGTTCCCGCGCGTTTCGCCCGCGTTTCGCCCTCGTTTTGCACTCCTGCGAAAAACCGGGTGGCTCTTTTTTTTTGTCAGATTTTTTGCGTTCATTCTCAACTTCAAGATGAGATGCGCAAAATTACACCCACGGCGGTCGTTCGACCGAAACAACTCGACAAATTTTCACATCACGCCTCATCTTATGCAGAAAGTTGCGCGACGGCTTTCCATTAAGTGATGGGCTTGCGGATTTTCATCTCAGTAATCTCATTCCAGGCCAATTCCTGATTTTATAAAAATTTATAATTTTTTAATTTATAATTTTTCATGGGACCGAGAGGAAAAAAAAA